ACAGGTAAATATTTATGAAGAGAAAACTATGCTTCATTGTTGTTATTTACATACTTATTTGCACTATTCACGAGTTTACAAGCTTTCGGATTTTGTATACAATACAGCATAGTTTCCTCTTCATAATATTTTTACCTGAAGAAGGGTCGTTTAAAACCTGAAAGCTTGTAAACTTGTTAATAGTGTAATGAAGAAACTTATACTCGGAGATTTATATTTGATTGATCTAATAAACATATCAATGTTTTTAACATACATTGATATGATGTACTAGCGTGCCTTCTGTTATCAAAATTCGAAACTATTTTAAACGCGTAATTTTTCCATTGCAGTAAGGGCAGTAGAAATTGGTTAATTTCAAAAAGAATCTTAAGAGTTTAAAACACATTAATATGTTATAATACCTTGAAAAAGGTTGGCGTTCTGCCAACTGAAATATTGGTAAAATAAATCATAATTTGATCCAATATATACCTTTTTATTTAAAGATTTATTTATTGATTGTTCTATTTCAAAACAATAGGATAATGATTTTAGAAAACTAAATTTAATAATGCGCTCTAAGTCCGTTACGTTCGTTGTATAGCACATGCAGTCATCGTCGAGCGAGACACTAAACCTTCAGAGATAAAGAGGGAGTCTTAGTACATCCTATTATAAAAGTTAATGTGTTTGATAATATAATCCCTTTGGTAAAATTATAAATAAAAGACAATTTGCTGAGGGAATAGTTTCTTCTATATATAACGACAATACAAGCTTTCTGGTGTAACAGCTCTTCGACAGGTATAACTACGTTACTAAAACATAGTTATACCTATCGAAGGGTTGTTACACCAGAAAACTTATACTGCCGTTATAAAAAGAAACTCATCTCTCAGCGAATTGTATTTTATTTATTAAATTAAAATTCTCTCGTTGATGGATTGATTTAGATAATTTTCCATCTAATTTTGAGTTGGAATTTGGACTGTAAAAAAAATTACATTATTCTCGAAAGTTCAAAACTTTTATTGATGAAGAGCTAGTCCAACAAAAAGAGTTTTCAACTATTGTTCAATGTATGAATCAGTTTAAGAGAGAGCCTTTCTATTCACCGATGAATTCAGAATTTACGTCTAGGTATTCACCTCGATATGCTAATCGTAAATAAGGTGCTAGAACCCTTACTAAATAACGTTCTCTTTTTGTTACGATCTCAATTTTCTCTCAAACATTCTGCTTTAGAAACCAACTCAGTATCATATTTACATATTTTTATTTATTTATTAATCAACCAGGTGTTAATTGAAATATTTGCGCCTAATACAGAAGAAACAAACAAAACAACAAACAAATTAGAACTTTGAATTAAATATTTACAAATTTACATGTATTAAAGGACAGAGATCATAAAATTTATATAGATAAAATGGTTAATGTAAGAAAGTTAAATCATTTAGACAAACGATGTCTCACTTCTGTGAAACTCATACAGTCATAGAAATTGACAATGTTGATTTAAATTTCATTCTTATGAGCCCAATAAAGTATCAACGATTCATGTGTGTCCATTGTTATATCCTCGTTAAAACTGGAAGGCAAAGAGCTATTCAAGAGTTTTGAAAACAATGTGTTAGTTGCATTATAATATTTATATTACAAAACTAATATTTTCCCCATGATTTTATTCAAGTGAAATATTATATGTAGAGGTCTTTAAAATTATATACAGTAGAACCTCCATGAGAGGACACTCACGCTAGAGGACACCTTTCTATAAAGTACAGTTTTCATTTGCAAAATCATAATTTTTACTATGTAACAACTCTCCAGTAAGAGGACACCTCTCCCTAAAGGACACTTTTTATTTATTTATTTAAACACACAAAACGCGATATCCCGGGTAGGGATAATTGCGTCGATTTACATTTTTAAACAGAGTTATAAACATTAGAGGACACTCGGCTCTGCAATTAGGTGTTCTTTACAGGGAGGTTCTACTGTATTTGTGATAACATTTTGAAAAACGAATTCTTCGCGTTTATCTTATTAGGTTAAAATTTGTTAGGGAAAAATAAACAATAGAGGTAAAAAAACATCATTTTGAAAAAATATATATTTTTATTTTGAGAAAAGAGCAAAATTCTCGAATATACAAGGTATGTCCCATAAGTTCCCGGACTGGGTCCATAAAAAAAAATGGTAAGGTTTTTTAAAAAAAAATTTATTAAAACTTTTCAAAGTAATCCCCCCTTGCTTCAACGCACCAGCGCCATCGTTTCTCCCAATTGTCGAAACAGTTTTTATAAGCCTCTTTTGGAATGCTCTTCAATGCTAACGGCGATTTTTCTATTATGTCATCCCTGGTGTCAAAATGTCTTCCTTTTAGAACTGCTTTAAGTTTGGGGAACAGGAAAAAGTCATTTGGTGCGATGTCTGGGAAATAGGGTGGTTGAAGTAGGATTTGTGTCCCGTTTTTCGCCAAAAAGCTAGTCATCAAGTGCGCTGTGTGAGGGCGAGCATTGTCATGGTGTAGGATCCAGCCACCATTAGTCCATTTTTCTGGCATTTTTTTTTCGAATCGCTTCCCTTAGACGGCGAAGAATGCCCAAATACATTTCCTTAATAACTGTTTGGCCTGCAGGAAGATACTCGTGATGAACAATGCCCTTGTTATCCGAAAAAAGCGACCAGCAACACCTTGTTTCTGGATTTTTTGGGTCTAGGCTCACCCTAACCTCTCCACTCGGCAGATTGAGGTTTGGTTTCAGGGTCATAGCCATAGACCCATGTCTCGTCGCCTGTGATTATCTTGTCTTTCCATTCTGGATCCGTTCTTGTCATTTCCATCATGTCCTCACAGGTTGCAAGCCGACACAGTTTTTGCTCATTGGTGAGGAATCTTGGGATGAATTTTGCAGGAGTCTTTTTGAGCTTCAAATCTTCGGTTACGATCCTTCCAATCGTTGTTTTAGAGATGCCTGTGTCTTGATCTAGCTCCAGCAAAGTGGTTCGAGGATTTTCTTTTATCAAATCGGTGATTTTTTGCACATTTTCATCAGTCCTTTGCAATTTTGGGCGTCCTTGACGAGGATCATCTTCAATGGAAATTCTGCCAGCTTTAAATCTAGAATGCCATTCAAAAACAGTTGTTCTCTTTGGGGCGTCATTGGGGAATGCTTTATTAAGCATTTCAAAAGTTTCGGTTGCTGATATTTGAAGTTTCACACAAATTATATGCAAATCCTCTGCTTCAATTTTTGTTCCATCGTAAAATCGCCGCAGCGCTAGGTGTGACCTTTAAATAAATTAGAATAACCTTGGCTCGCGCGCAAGTACCGCCTCGATATTGGTACCACCGTGTAGCCAGATATTTTTTTCTATAATAAACAGTCAAATTCATTTACATTTTTCATTTATTTATTTTTTTTATGGACCCAGTCCGGGAACTTATGGGACATACCTTGTATATTAAGGTATTTAATATTTATTGACTAAAAGGTTATAAATATCACATTATAGTAGGATTATCTATTATCGAAAATAAAAATTAATTTTAAAAAAATTGATTATATAAATATATATCTGTGTGTGTGTGAGAGAGAGAATTGATATATATAAATATTATTTAGAGAAAAATTATAGAGAGAGAACCACATTTGACAATTATACCGCATGTCTTTCTTTTAAACGAAAAATTGTAATTTATTTTAAGGAGAAATAACGACTATTTCTAACCTCAGGGATGAAGTATGAAAGAATGAATTGTGAAGAGTAATGATAAACAGAAAAATAAAGTGTCCAGGGATGGGAATCGAACCCACAGTGTTCCGCTTACCAGGCAGATGCCATGTCCACTAGGCTACACTGGACATATTCCTCTGTTCGTAAATATTATATAAATAATTTATAATACAATATAATGCGGCTTATGATTGTAGAACGACATTATCATTCATCATTACTCTTCACAATTCATCCTCTCATACTTCATCCCTAAAGTTAGAAATAATCGTTATTTCTCCTTAAAATAAATTTCGATTTTTCGTTTAAAAGAAACACATGCGGTATAATTTTCAAATGTAGTTCTACAATTCATAAGCCGCATTATATTGTTATATAAATTAGAGAGAGATGTAATTTACTAGTAATAATAACTTAGATTTATTCAGTAATTTATGTTCCTTATTTTTGTGCCTTCAATAAAGAAGTTTTATATTATAGAAGAGAAGTAATTATTGCGATTAATCAACAGCTGATTCCAAGAATATTAATCAAACATTCTATTTATTGATTAACAAGAGAGAGAACAACATATAAAAAATAAACTTATAACATAATAAACAAAGGTACCTTTTTTTCTAACGGTTAGCGTTTATTTACCTATCTTATACATACTCTGTGGGAACAATTAATTAAAATATATATATAAAAAATCTTCTGTCCCTAAAATATTTGAGGATGTTAATTTCAAATATTCAAATGAATAAATTATATAATCAATCAGTTAATAATTTAAAATATATAGGGCTTAGAATTTTTAAACACTAAAATAGAAAAAAAGTGCAAACAGAAGATTAAAAAAAAGGTCTTTAGAATAATTTAAAGAGTTAAATGGTCTGCTTCAATTAGTCAATATTTTTACCACTCAGCAGAGTAAATTATTCATTCACAGATGGCAAGATTCTTCTAATCTAATTACGGAATTGTTTAAATTGAATTCACAGAGTGTGTATACAGCGGTGTCGAATCAATTCCTTTCAATTGATTTCTAGGAATAGAGATTATTTCATTGATGCCAAATCTAATTTCGTTGATAGATCTTAATTTATTCTTAGAATTTTTTTTGTTAGTTAAAGATTGATATTAGAACGAAGTTTGACAACTATACGGCAAATGTTTCTTTTGAACGAAAACTCGAAATTTATTTTAAGGAGAAATAACGATTATTTCCAACCTTGGGGATGAAGTATGAAAGGATGAATTGTGAAGAGTAATGATAAACGGAAAAATAAAGTATCCAGGGATGGGAATCGAACCCACAGTGTTCTGCTTACTGGGCAGATGCCATGTCCACTAGGCTACCCTGGACATATTTTTCCGTTCGTAAATATTATATGAAGTAATTTATAATATGATGTGGCTTATGATTGTAGAGAACGACATTTGAAAATTATCCCGCCTATTGGACATGGCATCTGCCCGGTAAGCGGAACACTGTGGGTTCGATTCCCATCCCAGGACACTTTATTTTTCCGTTTATCATTACTCTTCACAATTCATCCTTTCATACTTCATCCCTAAGGTTAGAAATAATCGTTATTTCTCCTTTAAATAAATTTCGATTTTTCGTTCAAAAGAAACATTTGCCGTATAGTTGTCAAACTTCATTCTACAATCATAAGCCGTATTATATTGTATTATAAATATTGATATATTGTTTTATCATCATTGAAAATGATATATTTTCACATTTCTAAGTCGAATAATTTATGCAATTTTATCTCTTGTGGCGGAGACTTTCCCGCAGTGTTATTTCTACAACCCTATTGCATATTTATCCAATACATAACAGTACTCATTTCTACAAAATTTAATGGATATATTCCAAATAGAGCAGTAGTAATTTCTACACCTTAAATTAGAGAATTTCTGATATATGGCAGTATTCATAAGTGCGACCATTAATAGTAACAAATGTTGACTTTACTCAGACTTTTTAAAGAAACTGATTCCAAGAAGATTAATCAAACACTATGAGTTACAAGAGAGAGAACAAAATATAACAATAGTAAACGAAGAGAAACTTTTATATTATGATGCATTAGCGTTCCATCTGTTATCAAAATTCGAAACTATTATAGACGCGTATGATTCTTTTAAAAATTAAACAACATCTACTGCCCTTACTGCAATGGAAAATATATGGGAGGGTCTGAATCACCACTGTTGAACCAGGCCCTCCCATTAATTTTTCTATTGCAGTAAGGACAGTAGATATTGTTTAATTTTTAAAAGAATAATACGCGTCTATAATAGTTTAGAATATACATAACAGATGGCGCGCTAATGCATCACAACAAATATATTCTTATCTCAGTGGTACATGGAATCATATCATACGAATGTTCACACCTACTTTCGTATTCACCTTTCATAAAAGAATATCTCTAAATTTTCAAAAGAGAAACTTATCTTCTTACAGTTAGCGCCTATTTACATGTGTTCTTACACATATACTCTGTGGGAACAATTAATTAATTAATATATATATATGTAATATTCTTGCAAATGTGCCGACGAATGGATGAACTGGCAGTCGTGTACGTGAGGCGAGTGTTGATGTTCTTCCCACACGCGGACAACAAGAAGCAGAGGCAGGGCTAGATGTTAACACCGAGAGTGATCGGGAACAGCCCACGAAACAGAGGTAGAGGCCATGACATAAACTTGGATGCTTATCCCCGAGACATGGAGGGAGAGACTGTGTGTGAGAAACAGGCTGAAGCGGACTGCCGAGAAACACCCCCTAGAACGATGCTGACCCCCTGCCAAAACCTGTCCTAAACAGGGGTCGTCTATAAAGATGTCCCTCGGGACCCCACATGGGCTGGGCGTTGCCTTTTTTCTCCCCTCTGTCCCTGCCACCAGCTGACCGAACACTCTTTGGATCTTTATTTTGACGTCACCATTTTTAGTTTTACATACAAGTAGGGGGTTTAAATACAAATAATTTATATACAAAATATGGGGTGGTAGTAAATTGAAATAGTGTACATTTTAATAGGAGGGTAGGATATTATAAGGTATCGGCTCTAACTAATTGGAATATATGTGACATATACTAAAAGTGTCATACAGTTTAAAATATACGATATATATATTATAATAAATGTTATTTTAAAATTATAATTTATAAAAATATACTCTGTTAAATCGACCGCCAGAGGTTGCTCTTTCCCTTTATATAACCCAATGTTGTTGTTTCCTGATGGCCGGTACAATCCTTTTGTAAATTATGTAAATAATATTTTCATTTTTTTCATTCTTACGCCTTAAGTCAGACATTACTTTTCTCAAATTATGTTTTTTAAAGATATTTCTTAGCTCAATTAAAGCAATCTCTGATCAAAACTATTTTTATTATTATACTTTCAAGATTTTAACCACGACTGCCTTAACATAGCATAATCCTCAAGATAATCAAAAATCAACAGAAATATTTTTTATATAATACATATATACAAAATCAAGCTATATCACCATCAGAAGAAATGATATTACAGTACCAAAGAGACAAAACAAACTCTGTCAAAATACAATCCTTACTTCTAGCAGAACCTATTGGTTTTCCTGAAATGTAAAAAAGTAGAAAGAAAAATATAAATTTTTATATCGCATCTCCACCGACATCACCTGCACGCCTTTTGAAAAAAAAAATATTTTGGCGTGTCAGCAATTTTATTTTTATTATTTCAAGAATAAAAAAATATAGGGATGGTACAAATAGAATATGTATTGCTTCTTTTATATGTGTGGACTAATCCTTATATATATAAAAATGAAATGCGAAATCGATGTTTGTTATCGCTTCACGCAAAATCTACCGACTCAATCATTATGGAATTTCGCATGTAGGTAGCTGAAGATTCCGTTCAACATATAGGCTATTCAAAAAACTAAAAAAGTAAATGTGCTTTTTTTTAAATAAAAAACCAAAAAGCGTTAGTTCCAGTCTTTAACCGCTTGGGCGCAGCACTGGTCGCGACGATAAATGAATTTGATTGGTTAATAATTAACACGTGGTTTGTTTACACAATGAATGTTAGTTTGTTCACACGATGAATGTTTTTAAAAGGTAAGATTATCCAATCGCCGTGAAACTTTAGGAAGTTATTTACTATACTACTGGGAAGATTTCTGGTTTGAATTTGATTTGAAATAAATATTCTTTGCAATTTTATTTGCAAATTTTCTACTTTCACTCGCAAGCAGCGCCTCTAGCGGTGTCTGGTGAAATTATATTTATAAATTGTAACAATGCTTAGAATGTTTTCCAAGTATAATAAATTTAATTTGAGAATTTAGTAATATAATATTCCAATGACGTAAAAAATACTTGGCATTTCAATATTAATATATATTTAAAGAAAAAATTGTAACGATTTTGTGTTAAATGTTAAAATGTAATGTTAAAATATATTTTTATATTGTTAATTTAATTTGTTTTTGTTTTATAAAAATGATGATGCAACTTTAATTGTTGTTGTGAAAATATCTTTATTTACGGAGCTGCTAACCATAATAAATGATTTTTGAGCCCCTAATTGTTGTTATTATTGTTTGTTTATATAAAAAAATTACATTGTATGTGATGATGATAACAAAAATGAAATTTTAAATTAATATATATAATTTATTGAGAAAAAAGAAATGATTAATTATCAAATTCACAAAAGTGACAATATCTTATTTAAAATATAATAAATGTTTTCAAAAAATTATGTGTTTCAAAAATATATTTAAACGCATATAACCATATTTATATTTATACTAGCCGAATCACCCGGGCAACGCCCGTGTTTTACCCGATTGCATGTTTTTATTCAAATACTATTTGTTACATTTATAAATTGGAGCCCTGGATGTCACTCTTGTGAAACGTCCCGCTTCAAACTTTACATGTACATTAGGTCAGCTGGTATTACCCCTCATTTTCACCGCTAGAGGCGCGAGCGAATTGACCTTTTGTAAATATACATAATTATAAAGATAGAAGCTTCTATAGAAGATAATGATCATAATGATGATGCGCGCGCATCCGTGACAGCGATGAGGAATTGAGGAAAGACGGTCGTGACTACATATGTTGATAATAAAATAATTATAATAATATAATAATAATTATTATTATTATTATCATTAGATAATGATAATGATCATAATGATGATGCGCGCGCATCCGTGACAGCGATGAGGAAAGACGGTCGTGACTATATATGTTGATACGTTTATAAATCAATATATAGGTGGATTGGATGTTTTCTAGAATCGTTTTAACAAATGTTCGTTAGGCAAACTTCAAATTACCGAGTGGACCAATTAATACTGATTTTTTTCAACTTATCGAGTATTTTTCAAGGGACCGGGAAAAAATTATCGAGAAGGTAGACAAGTATAGATTCAGTAGGGATTGGATGTTTACTAGAATCGTTTTAACAAATGTTTGTTAAGCAAACTTTTACTTGGGGCGAAGTCGGGAACATATATATTTATATATGTTTGTCGCCTATGCACGCCCTCAATATGTAACTAATCTCGCTGAAATTTGAACAGGACAGAGAGTTAAATCTGTAAGAGTTTTTTTGTCGCACTTTAACCAATAAAAATTATATTTAACCAAGTACTGAGCAACAATATTTTTTTAGTCAGAAATGATTATGACAATATTGCCGTATCATGCTTGATTGCATTAAAAAAATATTTTGGGGAATATTCACTAAAGCAGACCACAGGTAAAGCCAGATAATGATTAATAGTAGGCAGGAACAAAATTCTACCAGCGAAACATTCACTCGAGCAGAAGACACACGAAGCCAGGTCATCTCTATATATAAAATATCGTTTCTCGGCCTTTTGGCTATGATCACGTAGTATATCTCGAGATATTTTTATTTATGTATATCTTTTTAAAAATCTATTCAGTAGAGAGTGGATATGTTTGCTCGAAAAATAAATTTCATATATTATATAAATATATGACATAATGAATTATATTATCATAATATTCTGTGTGTTCCCGAATATTATTATCAATAATATTCGTTAGGCAAACTTTCACTCGGATAAAACCCGGGCGAAGCCGGGTACACATCCGCTAGTATATATATATATTAAAAATAGTACAAAAGTGAATTTGTACTTGTGCTTTTTTCTTAATATATATATATATTATGTCAAGTAAGAAGTTTCAGAAGATGAGTTTCTTTTAATTGTAAAACATTACAAGCTTTCGGGCAATGCCCTTCTACAGGTAAAATAAAAACAAAAATTAAAGGTAAATTAAGGCAACTAAGCAACTGAGAATTAAA